CCTTGATAAAGCGGTTATTGAGTTGGAAACCCAACAAGGAGAAAGAATACCAATGGAAGTGCTTATTGTACCCACAATAGCTGCCCCTCTACAGAACCGAATGAATTACGAAGCATCTAAACTTTCGTATTTAAAAGGTTTAAGATTAGCACACCCCGTATGTGAAGACGATAAATTTGAGATTTCTTTGTTAATAGGCGCAGACTATTATTGGGACATTGTTGAAAACAATATAATCCGCGGAAATGGTCCAACAGCTGTGAAATCAAAAATTGGGTATTTATTATCGGGACCGATGATCAACACAACAGGTAATACAGTTGCAGCTTCAATGATGAATATTTTGGTACAGCATAAGAAGGAGGAGATTGATTTAGAGCGTTTTTGGAAACTGGAATCCATGGGAGTTACAGCAGACGATGAGTCAACACAGACAGACATAGATTTTTATGAAACATATCAGAAATCTAGTATTATGTACAAAGATAATTGATATATTGCCAAATTACCGTGGAAAGACAATTTTCAGGACTTACAAACTAACTACAATATAATAAAACGTCGTACTGAAAATTTAATTAACAAGCTCAGTAAGGACCAAGACATGCTAAAAATATACGGAAGTATAATTGAAGATCAAGAAAAGCGTGGATTTGTTGAGAAGGTTAATGAGGAAACCAACAGAAGTACAAAAATTCATTACATTCCACATCATGCTGTTAAAACAGATTCAACAACAACACCAATACGCATAGTTTACGATTGTAGCTGTAGAGAATCACCAGACAAAGCCAGATTGTCTCATGTCAGTTCCACCACTTATGAACGATTTGACAGGAATTATCACAAGATTCAGACTACACAAGTTCGCAGTAACAACAGATATCGAGAAGGCGTTTTTACAGATTCAATTAGACGAAGAAGACCGAGATGCAACAAGATTTCTTTGGTTGAGCGATTCGAGCGACCCTACTAGTCCACTAATCACCTATCGTTTCCGAGTAGTTCTTTTTAGAACAACTTGTTCTCCATTCATGTTGAATGCGACAATCATGAAACATCTGAAAAATAATTTGTCAGATACTACTAGAGCATTGAAGAGAGACCTGTATGTGGACAACGTTTTGTCGAGCTTTCATAGCGAGGAGAATTTACTATCATTTTATAAAGAATCACGTCAACTTTTATCCAAAAGAGGATTTCATCTTAGGTCTTGGACATCAAACAATAGGAAACTGCGCAATATGGCAGAGTCGGAGGACTGCATGGACAAGGACAAAACTATTAAAATTTTGGGACTTCGATGGAACACTGAAACTGATACGATATCGTTTCAAAACAGCATTAAAATTGATAAGGAGAAATCTGTTACCAAGAGAGAAATTCTTCAAGAGTCGTCAAGGATATTTGACCCGTTAGGAGTATTAAGTCCAATCACCGTCCGAGCTAAGATTTTGATGCAGACTATATGGGAGAGGAAATTTGACTGGGATGAGCTCTTACCAGATGATATAAAGAGTATATGGTACGCTTTATTGGAGGACTTACAACAAGCAGTCACACTTGAAATACCAAGATTTTATTTCACCAATGAATCATCTGCAAATATCAACACCAAGGCAAGGAAACTACATGTATTTACCGATGCTAGTCAAAGTGCATACGGAGCATGCGCCTACATTGTGGGTGGAGATCAATCAACGCTGGTTATGGCCAAAAACAGAGTGGTCCCTTTAAAGCAAGTAACATTGCCAAGACTTGAATTAATGGGAGCATTAACAGGAGCGAGGCTCGCTAATCATTTACTGGAAAATTTAGGAGACATGGAAGTAACATTTTGGTCCGATAGCCATATTGTTTTATCATGGATTGCGTCGATGAAACCACTGAAGAAATTTATTGCTAACTGAGTGACTGAAATCAAAGAACTTGTTAAAAATCAGCGATGGAAATATTGCCCAACAGACATGAACCCTGCAGATTTACAAACTAGAGTTTTCTTGCGATTTGTTTCAATCAACACTTGACACCAAAGAACGTAAATCGAAGAAGGACGCCAGGGAAAAGATTCACCAATTGATGTCTTAATTTTATACTTATATAGACTTTAATTTTTCAAATGATTTTTATTTTCTACATACATTGACTTTAAGTTAAACTGTGAATATTTGCTTTATCTATGTATTAATTAAGAATTTTTATCATTTTCACTTCTCTGCGCCCCCAGTAAAGTCAAGTATTTTGCTGCTATTCTTTCACGGACTGTAACTAACGTTACTTTTGTAACATCAACACGTTTATTACGTTATTGTAGTCATACAAGCAAGTAGAGTCATTAAAAGCAATAAGAACTGTTCACACATATTCTATTTACACAAGCGAAGTACTAACCAACTAAACCCAAACAAAGGGGCCAAAATAAGCATTTTTCTAGTTTCAGGACAATAACTTGTGTATAAGTATTTTGATTGTTCTTTAAATTGTACCACCTGGTTCAATACCACAAGTAGAAGGTTGGGATTCATTTTGGGGGTAATTTACCAAACCGTTCAAGAATTACGTGCCAAAATAAGTGTATGGATGTCTTTTAATTTGTACCACATTTTACAAAAAAGAAAATTTCTTCAAAATTAATTTTTTTGGAAGGGAGAGGGTAAAAAAAAAATTTTTTTTGGGGGGGGGGGGCAATTTTTTTTCCTCAAGATTTAAGAAATTGTCAATTTTCCATGGAAAAAAATTGGGGGTCACTATTTATTTTGCTAATTCTTTGTATATAGTCTGAAAACAGATTTACTAAGTATTGCGCAACAGCACAGTCTATTGCACAACAGCAAGAAATCTTAAATTGAATACTGTATAGCGGGTTATTTTCGCGGGGTGTAAATTTTCACTTATTTTCGCGGTTAGAACGAAATCCCCTAAATAAATTCCGCCAATTTATAAGTGTACATGCAATGGTATTATATAAAAGTTTTGAATCCGCCAAAATAATAACTGCCAAAATATTTTGTATACCTTATTCAATGAAAATGCGAAAATAACCCGCTATACTGTATAAATTCAAATCATACAACCAATTTCAAGTTCTTTGACTACATTTATTCTGTGTGTCAGAAACCTATAATGTGTCAAATATTTAATTACAATCCAAATTCAGACCTGTATCAAGCTTGAATATTGTGTCAATTTTTGCCCCAACTGTTTTAGGGTTGGACCTCTGCTGTCGTATCCAGCTGCGCTCGGCGAAGCTGTTTATTTAATCAGCGTCTGGTGAGTTTGATCTCAGTTCTTCACTGGTCAAAATTTGATAATTACGTCAAATTTTCTTGCTTCCCTTTGAATTTCCTATTGTGACATTATTTAAAAAGGCGACCATGTCTGAAGATGTCACACAGAAAGAACACATCTTTTTGCAGATCATTCGAAAAGAAGGAGTGAATTTGTCTGCATATCGTTTAAAAATTGTTAAAGAAACAGATTCATTTTAAAAAAAATGATTTTTTCATTTCCTGAATTGAAGATTTTGTTTTTCTCTTGGTATAAAGGATTCTGAACACTGTTACCAATAAACAAACTACCTCAAATTTTGATGAAATCTATGATAAATTATTGTTAAATTAGTATCACTCTTCTTGAATGTGGGGGCCTCGGTGGCCAAGTGGTCTAAGTAATCGAACTACTGTATCACAAGCCTGTCAACTCTGAGGTCATGAGTTCAAATCCCGCACGGGCCAGGTGCACTCGACTCCATTCTTAATTGACTAAGATTGTCAGTTTTCCTACTGAAGGTTGGTAGTTCTCTCCCCGGGCACTCCGGATGCCTCCACCAATAAAATTGACGCCACGAAATAGCACAATAGTGTTGAAAGTGGCGTTCAACACCAATCAATCAATCAATCAATCATTCTTGAATGTGCATGAAATATTTGCCTTTGGATGTGAAGAAACCAACAATCAATCAATTGATTAACTATGTAATAGAAAAAATAAATTAATGGTGTACTATATTTATTTTAATTGAGTGGATTGAAAATTTTGAATGGCCTTTATTAGATTTTTTCATAGTTGAAGTAAATATTTTCATTTCCTTTTTTTTAATAGGAAACATAACTAGGTTATTGGAGGATTAAGTGCTCACAAACCATGCTTAACCTCAGCACATATGTAATTCAGTGGTTGTCATTGGTTGACAGTGGTTGTCATTGGTTGTCATTGATTTCAGTGGTTGTCAGTGGTTGTCATTGGTTGTCATTGATTTCAGTGGTTGTCATTGGTTGTCATTGGTTGTCATTGGTGGCCATTGGTTGTCATTGGTTGTCATTGATTTCAGTGGTTGTCAGTGGTTGTCATTGGTTGTCATTGATTTCAGTGGTTGTCATTGGTTGTCATTGGTGGCCATTGGTTGTCATTGGTTGTCAGTGGTTGTCATTGGTTGTCATTGGTTGCCATTAGTTGTCATTGGTTGCTGTCAGCCATGATTGATTTTCACTCATTATTATAGTAGAAATCAGATCTTTGGTTTTCTTTTTTTAATTATTTTATATTTTGTCATCCTAGGACCTTTTATTGTTCACCAGCAGGTTGTACGAACGTGGCATTAGCCTAATGGGTCATTAAGTCCTCATTAAGCCTTTATGATGCATTAGGCTAATGGAGACTTAATGACTCATTAGACTAATGACACGTTCGTACAACCGGCTGCACATCTATGTCCGTTGGTATAAATGGTGTAAATATGTAGCCATCACCGGGTACAGTTTCCACTTACCAAATGATGTAAACAACTGGCAAATTAGGTTTCGATTTTCATTATGAAGTTTGATCACTGACGTCATGATGAAAGCAAGATAGGAAGAATACATATTTGAGGTGATTAGCACTTACAGAGGATTAGGATTTGTTGGATTTGAATCCGTAGGATTATACAACAGATCTAGAGCTTAATTATATAGCCTCTCCTCTAATGAGAATGTTTAACACTGTACTATCTTTTGTTTCAGAATTTATTTGTACCATTTGATGTACAGTCCGTAGAAGAGTTAACATTGGGTGCTAATTTACAGTTATCTCAGTTACACAGACTGAAGTGGAAAACTAATCAACATTTTCCTGGTAGGTATCTCAGTTACACAGTGGGAAAATGTTTCCTATTTATTTTATTAAAACATAAGTTCTGTAGAAAATTTTAGAAATATTTCACTGGTACCTTGAATACAAAGAAAAACTATTAAAAACAGATATATGAATTGCATAATGACATTTTGCAAATGTTAGCTAAAAAGTACATTGAAAGTACTTGAGGCCAATCATTAGTAAGAAAAACATTGATTTATGTAGGTTTATTTTGTCTGACTAAGATGCATGGATGGTGCATGCAAATGATGTTATGAATAATTTAAGTTATACATGAATCATGTGACTTATATAAAAGAGAGGTGAAAGATACTAAAGGGATATTCAAAGTCACAAGTCGAAAGGAACTAACAATGTCATGAAACCACTAAAAGACAAACAACTGTATACAAAACACAACATGGAAAACTCAAGACAGAGCAACAGGAACCCTAAAAAAACAGGTATGATCTCATGTGCGCCAAAAGGGTAAGTAGATTCTGTTAAAAACACTTCTAAGACTGCCCACTAGGTAAGCATGCAAGAATATTTTGGGGGATAATTGGTTAAGAAATGGCACTTCATTAATAGAATGGTTAATTCAGAATCTATATAAAAGATTTTTATAATTATTGTTTTATGTTGTTGAATAATTCTTTTTGTTTCTTCAGACTTATCAAGACAATCACAGCCTGTAACTGCTACTGATAATTTCACTGTCGTACTCAATCCAATGGAAATTAGAACATTTCAGATTACTTGGAAATGAAAGATGAAAGAGATTTTAAAAAGGGATTTTAAGGGAAGGACTTGATACATTCCTTAAATTAAGAATGGAATTCCAAGGTGATAAAACAAGCTTAAGAATAAAAATAAGGTTACAATTCAATGTTGCATAAGTATCTATTTATAATTGACACTAATCCTTTGTCCATCAATTCAACTTTTATGCACCATTTTGAGTGTAGATGGAAAATTTTTCTTCATTGCATAATAAATTCTGAGAAGAATTCATACTACTGTAAATTCAGAAATTATTGCGTCCATTAATTATTGTGATTTTTGAAGAATGGACAAAAATGCGAGATTAATTATTGCGATTTCAGGAACATTTGCATCCAGATATATGTATCAAATATCAGAATGCGAGTTCTTATTATTGCGATCCTCACCCATTCGCATTAATAAAAACCTCGCAATAATTTCTAAATTTACAGTATATTTGTATACAGGTATTTAGCTTGTCTCTGTTTTAATTGTACATTTTTGTACTATCAATTGCTTATTAAAGCTTGTGATTTAAATATTTTGAGGAAAGACCATGTTTACCGTTATCTATAATTTCTTATGTATCATTTATAATGATTATGTTGTTTTGGTTATGTAGATTTTTGTGTGATACATTGTGAGAGGAGTGTAAAGACCTCAAAGGGGGGAGGGGAATGTACTAATTGATCTTACCCTAATGAAATGAAAGATTATTATTATTTGAACTATATGATTTCAAGTTTAACTGATATGGTGTGGTTCATTTATCTTGTTGGTTACAAGTTATATGTCTGAATGACTGAAATTAACCATAAATGCATGTATGACTGTTATGATATTTTTAGAATAGGGTCCCTTGTCCAAGTAGGGTTAGGACTAGCAGTAGCTCTATATTTTATCATGATCTCAGTGGTAATGGCATGAGGGTTTGGATGGGGTTGACAGAATAGAGAATAATGGGCTAATGCTACAGAAAAGTTGGCCAAAAAATTAAGAATAGAAAAAAAATAGGCCAAAAAAATGAAGAATAGAGAAAAATGGGGTGCTAAAATATAAAGAATAGAGACTAATGGACAAAATTTATAAAGAATTGAGAAAAATGGCTTATGAAATTAAAGAATACAAAATTGAAGGACCCCCATCATGGCATTATTGAATTTTAAAAACCTCATCCTCAAGCATTCAGTGCAATTATTCAGTTGATCAGTTGATCATATTTGTCATAAAAATTTGTTTTAAATTTCCATTTAATGTTTAAGATTCAGTAGATTGATTGGAAATCTTTATAAAGTCTTTACTCTTTTGCTTTAGGTAATTCTTTTGGTTCTAACATTTTTACATAAATTGTCAGTTTTCCTACTGAATGTTGGTGGTTCTGTCAGGCTTCCTTCACCAATAAAAACTGACCGCCATGGTATAGCCAATAGTGCTGAAAGTAGAGTTTAACATCAACAATCAATCAATCAAATATAGTCCTCTCAATCTAAGGAAATGTAACCATGACCTTTTCATGTTCAATTCTAGAATGGAGACTTGGAAAATTGAAATCCACAATGAATTAAGTTTATAATGATTTTCAAGTTCAGATGAATCATGAATCATGCAGTGTTCATTATCATCAATACAGATTATTTAGCTTTTTTTATTGATTTGGAAACAATTGAATGTTGAAACTTAACCTGTTATAAACCATGCTATATTTTATTTTTTTAAAAGAGGAATATGTCATTTTGGAACATTTTGAAATTACAACATATAAATGGAGACAATATTCTCTTACTTTTTTTGGTCATAATTTCAAGTTCTATGTTTCTGAATGGGGTAAATTTGATATGCTTGTTATGTTTATAACTGCTTGTTATTTTGTAACATTTTTTTTTTTTTTCAATAAAAATTTACTTTTTATAATGTATTTAATTTCTTTATGATCTTCTGTTGCCAACAAAATATCTTTACATTTTCTGCTAGTAATTTTTGTAAAGATGAGACTACTTTGTGTTTTACTTGATAGTTAGAGCAATGGTTTGCATTCATCATTTATTGTTGACCTCTACTAAAGACTTTGGTATTGTTATAGACCTATACCTTTATTTATAGATCATTTGAATAATCTCTGATTTGTATTAGGGTGAATTAGGAATGACCTATTCTTTTTCTGGCAGAAGTTATCACCACAAAATTCCATTAGATATATAAGATAGTGGTAAAAGTTAGGAGGCATGATTAAATTACCAAGTACAATGTACCTTCATGCCTATTTCCCACCATATTTTTTGTTAAATTCTTTGTAAATTGTAATTAAACATAATAGTGTAGAATTTCTACAGAGATGGGAATTTATTAGATTTTTTACTTCAAGCCATAATATTTTAAATTTAAATCCTCTACAATTTCTGCACTCAACTGCTTATTAGGAATTTTCATGTGATTTTAGAACAGAAAATTTTCGTTTGTAATGTAAGAACATATGGTTAAGGGGAATATCGTTTATTTTTCTTCATAGAAAGTACATGTGCTTTACATAGAATTTCTAGGACTAATGCATTGATACACTTATCTGTTAGTCCCAGCTGAGGTTGAAAAAAAATAAAATTTCTAAATGTCAACATTTTTATACTTACTATTATAGTTTTAGCAGAGCTCAATTTTGCTGATTATAATGAAGTTATTAAAGCAAGGGTTCCTAAATGTAAATTTGAAATTATCCCTTGAAAATTTTTACAGACACCATCATGATTTGGCTGACCGTTATGGAATATCTGTGACTCATATTTATTACCATGAATATGTTCCACTTGTCATGAAGAAACAGAAATGTTTAAGACAAAGTACAAAAGACATCTAGGGATCAATAAAGGGTATTCCAGTGATTAAAAGTTATACTTAAGTCCTTCCTACTTAAAGATTATTGTGATTATTGTCAACTTATATATACTAGCTATTTAGAGCATGTGGCATAGCCTTTAAAAATGGACAGTGCATTCTACCGATTACTTTTATCTTGCCTGGTGAGCATTTGCAAGGTTTTTATGTTTTGGATCAACAGAAGTCAGCAAATAATTCTGTTATAGCCATGATTTTACAATATTGGCCAGCACTACATCCTCTGTAAGAATACAATTGAGATAAATATAGATAAAAGGAGTGGAACAATTGTCAGGTTAATATCAAACTTTGAAACATACAGGAACAAGACTAAACGTGAAATATATGTAGATGCTACCACACTGTACGCGAGTTATTCGGACAGATTGGGAAGTAAATCTAATTAAAATATAAATCTCTGATTTCGTTATGCTCATATGATAGATCTGTATTTTAAGGGAACGACCATTTAACTTCAAGGGTTAAGAGGGGGGGGGGGGGGTTATGGTTTTTTCCTAAAAAAATATTCTGATCCCCCAATTTGATGAAAAAAAATATTGTGGTCAAGCAAATGACAAAAAAAAAAATATTCTGAATCCAGATTTTCCCCATACCTTATAGTGTTAAATTTTGAAAAAAAATAATTTGATTGATAGCATCGAAAAACTAAAAAAAAAAGTTTGCGATCTGTGCGAAAAAAAGTTTCTGAATCAGACAAAAAACCATAACCCCCACCTTGAAGTTAAATGGTTGCTCTCTAATCAGATTGATTGGTATAAGTAAACTTTTTATCTGAATTGCACTCAGTGTTGATAGAAATGCACTTACATTTGTAGTATATGTAAGAGAATGATGACCCCTTTCTACATGATAAGGTGCAAGCTTTTCTCTTAAAAACTTAAAATATTGTCAAGAGCTCAATGCTCATCAGTACGATGACATGGTAGAAATTTGTATAAGTTTCTATTTGTGAGTATGAATGTAAATTATGTAATATGTTAGTGAGTTATTTTCTTTTTTCTGGACAATAATTTGAGTATAAGTCTTTGGATGGCTATGAAATTGTACCACAAGGTTCCATATCATTGAAGGAAGGTTGGGATTGATTTTCAGGGTTATGGCCTTAACTGTTTAGGAATAAGGGGCCAGAAAACTAGGAATTTCTGGTTTACGAACAGTAACTTGGCATAAGTCTATGGATCTCTATGAAATTGTACCATAAGGTACCATACCATGAAAGGAAGGTTTGGATTGATTTTTTGGGTTATGGCCTTAACTGTTTAGGAAAAAGGGACCAAAAACAATACTTTGTATAAGTTGCTTATTTCTTGACCAACTTCAGTGGGGTTTAATTCAAAGTCTTGAATTCTTGGGGTTCTTTAATTCTTTAATATGCTAACAGTGTATTTAGATTTTGGATTTGGGGTCCCATTTTTCTAATTAGACCACATGGAGGTCCAAAGGGTCCAAGTTTAAACTTAGTTTAATTTCATAAAAAAATGGAATTATTGGTGTTCTGTTATATGCAGAATCTAACCATGTATTTAGATTTTGAATTTTGGGGCCTGTTTTTAAATTGGTCCACATTTAGGTCCAAAGGGTCCATTACTAAACTTTGTTTGATGAGACTGTCGTACAAGTGAGAGGTTTAGCGCTATAAAACCAGGTTCAATCCACCATTTTCTACATTTGAAAATGCCTGTACCAAGTCAGGAATATGACAGTTGTTGTCCATTCGTTTGATGTGTTTTGTCATTTGATTTTGCCATGTGATTAGGGACTTTCCGATTGAATTTTCCTTGGAGTTCAGTATTTTTGTGATTTTACTTTTTGATTTAAAAAGAAAATGAATTCTTTGAGTTCTTTGATATGCTAAATCTAACCATGTAATTAGATTTTTTATTTTGGGACCGGTTTTCAAAATGGTTTACTTGAAAGCCCAAAGGATCCAAAGTTAAACTTAATTTGATTTTAACAAAACTTCAATTCAAGCGGTTCTATAATATGCTGAATCAAAACATGTATTTAGATTTTTGATTTTGGGCCCAGTTTTCAAGTTGGTCAAAATTTGGGTCCAAAATTAAACTTTGTTTGATTTCAACAAAAAATAAATATATGGGATTCTTTAATATGCTGAATCTAACCGTGTATTTAGATTTTGGATTTTGGGCCCTGTTATCAAATTGGTCCACATTGAGGTCCAAAGGGTCCAAAATTAAACTTTGTTTAAATTCTTGGGGTTCTTTGAAATGCTGTAACCATGTATTTAGATTTTGGATATTGGACCATAAAAGGTAAATGTCCAATTTCAAATTTTTAAGTTCTTAGATCACCTTCATTATGTATCAGAAAATATGCTATGTCAAATATATAATAACAATCGGAATTCAGAGCTGTATTGCACAATTAATAGAAATTGTAAGTAGAGTCATAGTTAAAAATAGATATAGCATCAAATCAATCTAATTTTAGAGAAGAACTTGTGTATAAATATAGTTTGAAATTTACTTTTCATTATTAGATATTTTTAAATAATTTAAGGTAAGTTTTGTAGATTTTTTAAAGACTTTGTATTTAGTTTTACATCTAAACCCTTCAGAATGAAAGTTTCATATCTTCTCTCAATTTTAAAATGGATAAATGGAGCTGTAAATCTCATACTGATATCCGTGTATTTTGATTTTGGATATAGGACCATAAAAGGTAAAAGTCTAGTTCTTTGACCACATTCATTCTGTGTCAGAAACCTATGATGTGTCAAATATTTAATCACAATCCAAATTCAGAGCTGTATCAAGCTTTAACGTAGTGTCCATACTTGAGTCAAGGATTTGTATACAAATCCTTGCTTGAGTCAACTGTTCAGGATTCGACCTCTGCGGTCGTATCAAGCTGCGCCCCACAGAGCATTTTATTGTTTATTTGCAGTTCAATCAATAAATTCAAATTAAGGTACAACTTAAGTTATTTTAAATTTCTGTTTTAATTGTATTGTTATTTTGGAAATGACTATTCTTACCAACTGCAGAAACAGTAATCTGAGTTTTGGTATGCGTATTATTCTATACTTTTTCCTTTTTGCATTTGCTTTATAAATATTAAAATTAACATAGCAACATTAAAGGTACCAATATTAGTGCAGCAGTAAACTTCAAACTTGTTTTAATTTTTTTGTTTGTTTAAAAATTTAACTTTTAGTTAGTTTCATTCATAAATCCTTTCAAGCTGGTAAAGGTGCTTGGGGCAGTTGTAACTCATTTATAGAAACTCTTTGTTTTGAACAGTAAATAGGCCAAAACAATAGGATACTCCTTTATAAAGAACATGGTTTACATTCATTCTTATCAATAAAGAAACATCAAATCTTACAATTTCATTGGTCGAGAGTACTTTGCTATATTCAAAGTTTGTAAGAGAATGATAACACCCTTTCTTCATTATAAGTACTCGTTAACACTCGTACTTAATCACGAAGAAAGGGACTATCATTCTCCTAAATATACTAAGTTGGTGTAATAAATTAATTTCGTTAATTGGAACAAGTTAAACGTTTTTTTTTTACCATGAACTTAACGAAAAACCAACCAGTTTACTACAATTTCAACAGTAGAAATGAAGTACATAACATGATAAATGAATTAGGATGGAAAAGCTTACAAACAAGACGAAAAGAAGCACGACTCATCATGTGTTACAAAATAACAAACGACCTTGTAGCCATAGACAAGAATAAATATCTACAAAAACCAACAAGAAGCTCAAACCGGACAGGACAACATACTTACCTATTACAGCCAGCCACCACAGACTGTAGGAAATGGTCCTTCTTCATAAACACCGTCAAGGATTGGAACAAACTGCCACCAGATACCGCCACAGCAAAGTCTCTTGAGATATTCAAGTCTCAAGTCACCAAAACCACAAACTAAATCAACAGAACAATTTGTTTTTATCCTGTTTTTAACCTGTTTTTAATCATGCGCAACTTGCCAGAATATTCATCATGTTGAATGTGGGCAGTATATGGAAGAAGAAGAAGAAGAACTAAAATGTATGTATAGACAACATGCAGTAAGTTGTGTTCATAATTCATTATTGAAGACACAGCATGTACGTTGGAAAGAGCTATGAATATACACATTTAAATCTAATATTGGAATGCTCAACAAATTATGAATAAGCAGAATTATAGAAATGAGTAGTGCCTTCTTACTCTATACTATACAAAAGGGACGATTTTCTAAAAATTAATACGTAGAGTAGTTGTTGTAACAAGCTGAAAGGGCAAGATCCATTTCATAATTAAAGACAAATTTCGAAATAGTCAACTAACAATAAGATGGTAAAATTATTTGAAGCTTCTGTAACAAAAATTAACTTTGGTATTTAAAAAACTGACACAACAAAAGACTAAAAAAATAACCTGTACTGACAGAATAGAAATGGTCAATTATGAAAGTGAATGTTCCCTGAATGTGCAGTGTTCCTTTGCTCCCAAGTGTTTCCAGTCGATTGGCTTTTTGAAAAAGTTCTAGCTAATTCTGCGTCGCCTATTGTTTAGTGTTTTTGGTTACCATTAAAATCAGCAATACTACTATTTGGACGATGTAACATTGAATTGACTAAACTTGAAAAAGAGAGTCATGGCAAAAAAAAGACCAAAAGACAAACAACAGTACACAAAACACAACATAGAAAACTAAAGACTGAGCAACAGGAACCCCACCAAAACAGGGGGTGATGATAGCAGGTGCTTCGGAAGGGTAAGCAGATCCTGCTCCACATGTGGCATCCGTCGTGTTGCTCATGTAATAAAACCCGGTGGTTAGTCTAATTCGTTAGGTCACATTTGGGAAAAGAGGACGGAATTGTAGTTACGACAACTGGAACATATCCGTCGTCATCTGTGAAACAGATACTTATAATCCACAACGGTCAACCAACTCGTGATGGCGTTCTTAAAACTAACGAAGGGATGATTTCAACTTCACCACTGGGAACTCTTGGTTCAATAGCTTCCTTATAAACAGCAATCCTCTATCAAGGAAATCATGATAGGAAATACAAGCCCTGGAATATCGTATCAAATGGGAAATATATACTCCATATGCAGGTGCTGCTGGAATGTTGCTACATAGAAAAGGAAATTCACAATTGGGAAGATGAAATCATTTCTTTTGTTGTAAATTTTAGTTGTGAACCAACCCTCGACCTCATGGTCAATTTCTAGATTTTAATCAAGATAAGAGGCAGACTTAACTGTATCTATTGTATTTTTTATCTCAAGTTCGATGAGATAGATGCGTTCAACATAGTCATCTAACTTTGAATTATTAAGTGAGAGGACATCTTCTATATTGCGGGAAGTGAATTTAAAGGATAATGCTAACTTCTTTTCTGTCTTCCCAAGAAGCTCCTGTATGAAGTCGATCAGCCTCATATGAATAAAGGAACAAGTCGGAAAAAAGAGGAGCACAGTTCGTTCCCATGGGAATCTCGATTGCTTGTTGAAAAACACGTCGCATCCAAACGCAAAGTTGTATTCGTTTGTTGGTGTCCAGCAAGATTTTCTTTTTAATTCAAGACGTATAACATTGAATTCGGTTGACGCATAGTATTCGCTTGTTTGTGTCGAGCACGATTATCTTGTAATTCAATAAGCCTCTCTAGTAATACTGTTATCAACTGTTCATCAGTAGAATAATTCGATGTTGATTGGTAAAGTATTTCCGGTTTGTTGATTATGGTCCTGAATTGTCGATGTAAACGGATTATTCTGACCTCTAAATATATCGGTTATTCCAAAATTACCTTGAGTACTTCTAGTAACTGCTGACACAGGCGGGTTTGTAATTAAATCGGTATTCCTAATTTCTTAACTATCCAATTCTGTTTGCAAGTTGATCCAAAAAAATGGTTGACTTTCCTGCTACCGAATTATCCACATTTGGAAGTAGACCTTTCATTAGAAAATCTATATTGTTGTCAATATAGGCTGATTTTGAAATTGGCTCAGAATTCTTTGGTTTGTTGCTTCTGTAAGAACTCGCAACTGTCCAGGATCAGAACCAAATTGATCTGAAAATCTCTGTTTTATCGGAAACTGGCAATCACAGTACAACACAAAATAAAGTAGATAAAAGATAAACCGATTTCCCATCCTTGTCTTCACTTGAAAATCATAAGATGAGCCATTAATGATCAGTTAGGTCAAATTAATACAACTTAGTATTTTATCAACTTATGATGAGCAATTGATATTTGTTTAGCTAATGGTCTTGTAATGCATCAATTTATTTTTTTGTCTGTGTCGTGTACAACATACATTTCTTCATAAGTTCAAGTTAAAACGAATTCGTCAAATAAAAAGGTCAACGTATTTTTGTGTTTAAGTGTTACTACATTTATTGCTTTCACCTTGTTGAAACGATCAGCGTTAAGAAGATTTTCTTTCACTATCTTAGCTTTAATAGTGCTTACAGTGCCGGACAAATTACGACCGTTATCATGTTTCTAAATCGTATGTCTTGGTTATTTCCGTAAGTCTTTTCTTTCTACCCAGAATTTTGAAAATTGAAAAGGGTTTATGAATTCAAATGTATGCCAGTTAAACTTTCGTTGTGCAATTCTTTAGTGTTAAAATGTTATTCGGTGTTCTCAAAACTTTTTACAGCATCCTTAATTATACATTTTGAAGGTGCAATCATACACTTCTTTGAAAAAAGGATGTGTCCAAAGTGTTAAAATTTATTTTGTTGTATTTGTTTAGACGGGGCATGCTTTAAATCACGAGGCTTCGGAAAACATGATACAAGGGACTATGGTATGTGACTTTTAAATATAGAGAAACAAGTTTCAGTTAACAAAGTACACAAAAAAGTTAACAAACATACTGAACTCCAAGGCAAATTCAAATAGGGGAAGTCTATAAAAACTGACAAAATCAAACGCTATCAATCAACGGGATAAGTGAAAAACAACTGCCATATTCCTGACTTGGTACAGGTATTTTCCGAAACAAAAATGGTGATTTAAACCTGATTATATAACTAGTTAAACCTCCCACCTGTATGATAGTTGTTTATAGTTCCGTTTTATTGACAAAATTGGGTAATCAACCCAAACAGACATAATAGGTTAATGTGACAATGATTGGGATTCAACAGTCAAAACTGTTTAAGCATACATCACAGATTCACAAGAACGAAAAGGTTTCGAAATCAGATATCTACATTATATGATTCCGATAAAGTGTTGTAGTTGTATGCAACAGCTTGAAGGAAGATATACATGACATGCAATGTCAAACCAAAAACAGTTGCGTGTATACAGGATGAATAAACAAAATTATATATACATGAATATGATACAAAAAAACTTTACATTAGTGTTGCACCAAACCTAGGCGGGTCTTAAATATGTGCATGTAAGTACCCATTCTTTGTTCAGTGACATATTGTTTTTTATTTGATTTATTGATTCATTTTTGTGTGTAATAGTTTGCATTTCGTGATATGTCATAATTATAATACAACAGGCTGAAGTGTCTCCTAGGTTGCTTGTTGTTGCTGGCATTAAACAAAGGATCCTATCAATATGAGATCTATATATCACAGAACGAAAAGAATCTGATATCCAACGCAAGGACAATTCTCCAAAAATTGGAAAATATTTTGAACGGTATGTATTGTGGCTTTTTGAAGACGGAACTTCTGGGTTCGAATATCAATGATTTAAGGCAAATAGGCGTCAAAGTTAATAGGATCACTGAATATGCATGAGACAGTTATGAAACTAAAACAATTTAAGTGTAACGTAAATCTGAGGTGAACAATGAAACAACAAGCAGAAGATGGGATCAGTAGCCTTGGGATTATGCGATTTGAAGTACCTTGCATAGAAAAAGAAATTTTCCAGGTACAGAAATATAGCGGATTGCTATAAAAAGAAGGAGATGTGGTATGATTGTCAATGAGACAACTATCCCCCAGAGACCAAAGAACAAGGATGTACACAACTATTGTTCACTGTACGGTCTTCAACCATGATCAAAATCCATATCGTATAGTATGCCATAAAAGTCCATAGAATGACAAAATTTGAAACAATTCACAAGAGAAAACCAACAGCCGGATTTATGATAAAAGCAATAAACGAAAACGTACAGCAAATCATATTTATGAATTTTTTAATTTATCAAAAACAAAATCAAGGCTAGTACCGACACAGACAATTTTCAAAGAAATTACTACAATGCTTAATTATAAGCTTTACGAATTATTTTATTCAGAGGATCAACTATAAGTTTACATGGATCGCGTCTGTATTTGCGGACTCTGTAAACAACATTACCGTAAAAATTAGGATGTGTAATACGGTTTATAACAGGAACAGCCAAACTTACAAACCAAATCATTGTATCAATGAAAGAAACTAGTAATTTATTAATTAATTGAGTACAGTGTTAACAAAATACCTGACTTGAGATAAACCCAGTTATACATATCTGAAATCTGAAGCGTCACTACTCACATGGGCATAGCGAACAGGATGTGGCTGAAGGAACATTTCCGCCCAAAAGGGAGCATTGACATTAGGGAACAAAAAAATTGTCTCTTTTGTCGTATTTTTCCCCTTGACAATGAATGCATTTATTGTGTGATTTAAATCTTTACAAATGATATGAACACCTTTCTGCCATTGAAGACAGTATGTTTTGCTTTTAGATTTATTTTGTAGTTTGGGTAATATTTCTCATTGCCGTTTATCCAGCACTTCATTTTATTTATAAATATTAATTTTATTGTTTAGATTGTAATTCTCTTAACAGGAGAGAAATTATGTTCACAAGGATGGGAAGAATATGAAGATCATTGTTATCGGTTTAATACTAAGAAGATGAAATGGCATGAAGCTGAGGTAGGAAGTAATTATTTTATTTTTCCAACGTTGCTGTAAAAAATCTAAATTTGATATACATCAAATCATGTTTATAAACCTCGCCGCATTTTTGTGCCTGTCCCAATTTAGGAACCTCTAGCCTTTGTTAGTCTTATGTGTTTTTTTTTCTATTAAATCTTGGTTCATTTGTATGTTTCGGAGTTTAGTTTGGTGGCATTGGGCTGTTTTCCACTCTTTGGTCAGGTAGTTGTGTCTTTGACACATTCCCCGTTTCCATTCTCTACACTTCATGTATGTGCAAATATTTTTCCATAATATTGATGCTTCTTTATATATGAGCTGTAATTATTTTCAAACTTTCTGTTTTATAACTCATTGGAATGATAGGTTAACTGGGTAGTTAGATGGAAGGGAGATAATAAATTAACAAAAGGTGAGCACAATAACATCTATTATTGAAGCTAGTAAAAATGTAAATTGTAAACTTTTTTTAGCGTTCAGTGGAGGAAAAGGGGGGGAGGGGGTTGCAGTGGCGGATTTTGGGGGGTCCAGGATGGCCGGGCTCCCCCTATTGTGGGAAAAATTTGGTTGATTATATAGCGAATCACTGAAGCATGACTAAGCGGGCCACCTCTTATGGCAGTCAGTGGGCCCCCTTTATGAAAATTTCTGGATCCGCCACTGGGTTCCGGGGGTTGGAACCTCCCCTTTTTTTGACGATCAATGCTTTTGTATGGGGACATATGGTTGGAACCCTTTTGAAAATGGCTGGATCCGCCCCTGGCGTTCATTGGTTTTAAGAAAGTGCACGATTCAATTGATAGAGTATTATTTAATAAATTAGAAAACCTAGGTGTTAGTACAAAATGTATGTAATTAAGCTTTAAAGGCTATTCATTTTTAATTTATATTAAGTCATTGTCATTAAACATTGGTATTGATATAGATGTTGAAAAATTGTCAATCTTGCTATGTGCTAATGCTATAGTTTTAATGGCAGAATATACAGAAGATTTACAAAAACTATTGGTGTAAGTAAATTACACCAATAATTTTTGTAAATCTTCTGTATATTCTGCCATTAAATCATAATTGTTTAAAATCAAATCTAACAAAATCAAATGTGATGTATTTTAGAAACGCCTCTGTAACCTCATTACAAATGGTGTTGTTATGTAAAGGTATTATAAATTAAAAACGTAACCATAAACACCAACTCCTTCTTGCTTTTCAGGTTTGAATACTTTTTGTTGAGTTTATCTTAATTTGTTCTGTGTATATATTTTTTCAGGTTGAATGTAGGAAGCAAGAAGGATACCTGTTGAAAATAGAAGATGCAAATGAGTTTCGATGGATAGTTGCCCGAGCGAAAGGTATGTAGGAATATATATGAATAAAGCGGGGATATCAGCACATTTGTTATGCAAATTCTGGTTGATTATAGGGAAAGTTAATAGCTGTAAAATCATGTAATATTTCATCTTGCCATCAGAAAGAACAGAACAAAAATGACAATATGTATAATACAATATCGGGGCATAAGTTAAGTTATGTATTGTTTGTGCAATAGAAATTTCTGAGTTTTTTTTCCAGTAGCAATTGAAATACTGATTATCTTAAATACAATTTGTTTTTAGCTTATTCTGTAGACGACATATGGATAGGTTTACGAAAAACCAATAACAAGTGGAAATGGGTTGTTGATGAGCAAACAAGCCACTATCAGAAATGGAATAGTGGCGAACCTAATGGTGATGGTCCTTGTGTTCACATGTGGTCCTATTTCACGTATAACTGGAACGATGTGACTTGCAACAGACAGTGCTCTTTCGTATGTGAACAAAGATGGTAAGTCTAAAGAAAGTTATGTTTGACCATATCAGATTTCAAACTGTATTCTTTTTTATGCAACTGTCACGGAAATAACGAATTGAGCTTGAAAATATATATATTTAATAGGTTTGATATAAAACTACGGTGGTGTGGTATGACTGCTAGTGAGACAACTATCCACTTGAAGACCGACAACTTTACAGGTCACCGTATTATTCAACAATGATCAAAATTATTTACGTATATAGATATTAGTAAGCTGTAAAAGGAGACCGGATTACAACATTTTAAACATTACAAAAGCTAGGCCTACTTCCTCGCAATTTTGGAACCCTGTTATAAAATAAATGTTAAGTATTTTGATTATACATTGAATTGTAAGGGTTGTTCTATAAACGTGTGTCGTGAGGAGGGCGTTCGATCTTTCCTGACATGTGGTAAATAAGATTAAAGGGGTAGCTTTTATAAGATACTGTAATAATAATACTATCGTATGGGTAGAGAATTAAGATACTGTAATAATAATACTATCGTATGGGTAAGAGAATTAAGATACTGTAATAATAATACTATCGTATGGGTAAGAAAATTAAGATACTGTAATAATAATACTATCGTATGGGTAAGGGAATTAAGATACTGTAATAATAATACTATCGTATGGGTAAGAGAATTAAGATACTGTAATAATAATACTATCGTATGGGTAAGGGAATTAAGATACTGTAATAATAATACTATCGTATGGGTAAGAGAATTAAGATACTGTAATAATAATACTATCGTATGGGTAAGAGAATTAAGATACTGTAATAATAATACTATCGTATGGGTAAGGGAATTAAGATACTGTAATAATAATACTATCGTATGGGTAAGAGAATTAAGAATGTATACTGAAACATAGTAAACACCAAATAAAATGGGAAAGAAGAAATCGATGTATTTATTTGAGGGATTGTACTTCTGAATTAAATAAAACATTGCTTTAGTAATTGATAAAATCATGTCGTTGGTTTATATCTGGCATATTTGTTTTTCGTAAATTGTTGTGTAATAAATTATGCCGTTGGTTTTCTCGTTTGAATAGTTCTACATTTTTCATGTCGGGGCCTTTTGTACGGTATTCAATAATATCACATCTCCTTATTTTATGCGAGTCAATTTAGATACTCTATGATAATAAGGATAAATAACCAAAACCAATAAAAAACTAAATTTCAAGCATTTACAGATAAAATATATTGAAGTATTCGTATGCTTTCTTTTTCAGATGAGTCACTGATTTCCTGATCGAAAGTTTTTAAAGAAATAAGAAAAAGAAGACATATACCAATCACTGCTATCCAAATAAACATTATAGAAGCCAATTGTGTTGTTGTTTAATTAATTATATATATAAAATAAATTGTTTCGCCGAGCGCAGCTGGATACGACCGCAGAGGTCCAACCCTGAACAGTTGGGGCAAAAATGGACACAATATTCGCGCTTGATACAGGTCTGAATTTGGATTGTTATTAAATATTTGACACATAATAGGTTTCTGACACAGAATAACTGTAGTCAAAGAACTTAGAATTAATCATATGATTTGAATTTATATTCAATTTTTTGCTTTTGTGCAATACACTATGCTGTTGCAAATTGCCCCCCCCCCAAAAAAAATTTTTTTTACCTCCCTTTATTTTATTTTTTTTGCTTTGGTGCAATAAACTATGCTGTAGTGAATTAACCCCCCCCCCCCCCACCCCCCAAAAAAAATAAAAATTTACCCCTCTTTTTTTTTGCTTTAGCAATACACTATGCTGTTGCGAATTGACCCCCCCCCCAAAAAAAAATTTTTTTACCCCCTTTTTTTTGCAAAAAATAAAAATTTTTGAAGAAATTTTCTTTTTAATTTCTGAAATCTGAAATGAGAAAAAATTGTCCCCCCTCACAATTTCGTTTTACCCCCCCCCCCCCCTTTTCCCCCCACCCCTATTTTTGTTTTAACCCCCCCCCCTTTTTTCCACAAAAAATTCTTTCCTTCAAGATATGGTCATAATCTCAATTCAAATTTCCAATGGAGTTTGCAACCATAATTACCCATTTAAATACATCATATAAGTCTTAAAATAGAAAATGACATACATAATCATGGCTAAAATTAATATTCCTTAATCAGCATTTTTAAATAGTAAGTTCTAAAAATAAATTGACAGCTAATCACATCAAGACAATACAACATTTCTTTATATATAATTTAAAAGCAGTGTAAGGGAGATAATCCAAACTTAACATTGTATTTTATTGTCCATTAATTATTTGATTGGTTTGATTGATTGATGCATGGCTATTGATGCATGGCTATTTAATGTCCAGTGGCAAATAACTGATAAAGGATAATGAAACCCGTATGTTTAAAGAGGAGTCATAAATCGAAATCAAAAACCAATATCCAAGGAGACATATCAAAAGCAAAGCTACACAATTCATCGTATGTCCTAATGGTCAATGGTCCAAACCGTTATAAGTACATTTGAACTCGCCTGATGACATTTCAAACAATTCGTTCTGAAGACAGTATTTTGTCTGTGGTGATGATCAGCTCAGGTTGAATAAAGCATGCACAAACATGTGACAGTGAATGTGTTTGTGATGTGATCAAACTTTGTATTTATTACAAAACATATAAAGGATAAACAGAAATTGCCAAAACTATTGAACCCGAAACCTCGAACAGTACAACAGACCACCAAACACAAACACCCGAAACCTCGAACAGTACAACAGACCACCAAACACAAACACCCGAAACCTCGAACAGTAAAACAGACAATCAAACACAAACACCCGAAACCTCGAACAGTACAACAGACCACCAAACACAAACACCCGAAACCTCGAACAGTACAACAGACCACCAAACACAAACACCCGAAACCTCGAACAGTACAACAGACCACCAAACACAAACACCCGAAACCTCGAACAGTACAACAGACCACCAAACACAAACACCCGAAACCTCGAACAGTACAACAGACCACCAAACACAAACACCCGAAACCTCGAACAGTACAACAGACCACCAAACACAAACACCCGAAACCTCGAACAGTACAACAGACCACCAAACACAAACACCCGAAACCTCGAACAGTACAACAGACCACCAAACACAAACACCCGAAACCTCGAACAGTACAACAGACCACCAAACACAAACACCCGAAACCTCGAACAGTAAAACATACAATCAAACACAAATACCCGAAACCTCGAACAGTACAATAGACCACCAAATACTAACACCCGAAACCTCGAACAGTACAACAGACCACCAAACACAAACACCCGAAACCTCGAACAGTACAACAGACCACCAAACACAAACACCCGAAACCTCGAACAGTACAACAGACCACCAAACACAAACACCCGAAACCTCGAACAGTAAAACAGACAATCAAACACAAACACCCGAAACCTCGAACAGTACAACAGACCACCAAACACAAACACCCGAAACCTCGAACAGTAAAACATACAATCAAACACAAATACCCGAAACCTCGAACAGTACAATAGACCACCAAATACTAACACCCGAAACCTCGAACAGTACAACAGACCACCAAACACAAACACCCGAAACCTCGAACAGTACAACAGACCACCAAACACAAACACCCGAAACCTCGAACAGTACAACAGACCACCAAACACAAACACCCGAAACCTCGAACAGTACAACAGACCACCAAACACAAACACCCGAAACCTCGAACAGTACAACAGACCACCAAACACAAACACCCGAAACCTCGAACAGTACAACAGACCACCAAACACAAACACACGAAACCTCGAACAGTACAACAGACCACCAAACACAAATACCCGAAACCTCGAACAGTACAACAGACCACCAAACACAAACACCCGAAACCTCGAACAGTACAACAGACCACCAAACACAAACACCCGAAACCTCGAACAGTACAATAGACCACCAAACACAAACACCCGAAACCTCGAACAGTACAATAGACCACCAAACACAAACACCCGAAACCTCGAACAGTACAATAGACCACCAAACACAAACACCCGAAACCTCGAACAGTACAACAGACCACCAAACACAAACACCCGAAACCTCGAACAGTACAACAGACCACCAAACACAAACACCCGAAACCTCGAACAGTACAACAGACCACCAAACACAAACACCCGAAACCTCGAACAGTACAATAGACCACCAAACACAAACACCCGAAACCTCCAAAATATATATGTACAAACAAGAAAAAACAAAACCTGTCATCACGACCTGGTGCAGTCACACGACGTGGTTGGGGAAAAACCCGTATCACGTTCTTACATACATCCTACATCCCCTAAGCGTATCAAGATCATATGTGTAAAATTATACACACACATTAAAAACAAAACCTGCTGCTACAAATGTACCAGCAAGATGACCATTCCACTAACTTGAACAAGGAAATAAATAGTTAAATCACAGGGGCTTGTTTAGTGGGTCATACGAGATTTAACTGTCAATGGCAGTCGCTATCCTATATAAAATACCATATGGGTCTGAAATATGGGGAACTTTTAACCCATTTTCAGCAAGATTCAGGAATGGATCTTTACCATTTGATAAGATCTATTCCAGTTTAAAATGTGAGCGACTACACATCAAATTTAGTAAGCTTGTTTTAGGTGTTCATGAAAAATCAACAAATTTGGGAATTTTATCCGAGCTGGGGCGATTTCCTTTATATTATGATATAATTAAATATATGTTGAATTTTTGGTATCGCTTTTCAACAAAGATGCTTATGTAACATCACAAAATCTTTTTCATTCAAAAAAACCATCTTGGTATGCCTCTATGAAGTCAGTTCTTGAAATTATCCCAGACATTAATCATATAGCTTTATCATCACCAAAAATTAAAAGCTTCAAAACTAATATGGGAAAAAAAATTAAAATCGTATTTTATAGATTATGGAACACTGAACGGATAAAGTATTCAGATGATAAACTAAGAACTTATGTTACATTTAAATCAAATTTTGGAAGAGAAAAATACCTTTCCATTAAGGGGAATTTTGAACAGAGACGAAGCATAGCAAAGCTCAGAATGTCATCACACACCTTAAGAATTGAGTCTGGAAGGTATCAGGGTACTCTCCTAAATGACAGAACTTGTAACCGTTGTAACTCTGGAGATGTGGAAGATGAATATCCTTTTCTATTTCAATATGTTAAATTTAATGATGACCGCATTCATCTATTTCAAAAAAAACTAAAAGTTGCCCAAATTTTCTAAGTCTTAACTCAAGGGATAAACTGATATGGCTTATGAACACAGAAGATAAGTCAATTCTCATTGCTGCTGGTAAATTTATTGCTAAAAATTGTTAATGGTGTCTCTTTCTTGTCTGCTTCAGACACGAGGAGGATTGTGTTAATAACACAGCTCATTGAGTAGCGCCCCTTGGTGTCTGTACTAAATAACACAGCTCCTTGAGCAGCGCCCCTTGGTGTTTGTACTAAATAACACAGCTCCTTGAGCAGGGCCCCTTGGTGTCTGTACTAAATAACACAGCTCCTTGAGCAGGGCCCCTTGGTGTCTGTACTAAATAACACAGCTCCTTGAGCAGGGCCCCTTGGTGTCTGTACTAAATAACACAGCTCCTTGAGTAGCGCCCCTTGGTGTCTGTACTAAATAACACAGCTCCTTGAGCAGCGCCCCTTGGTGTCTGTACTAAATAACACAGCTCCTTGAGCAGGGCCCCTTGGTGTCTGTACTAAATAACACAGCTCCTTGAGTAGCGCCCCTTGGTGTCTGTACTAAATAACACAACACCTTGAGCAGCGCCCCTTGGTGTCTGTACTAAATAACACAGCTCCTTGAGTAGCGCCCCTTGGTGTCTGTTCTAAATAACACAACACCTTGAGCAGCGCCCCTTGGTGGCTGTACTATTCTCAAACCCTATTACTGCACTATATGTTGTTTGCTGTGAATAAACTTGAACTTTGTTACATTTGTGTTTGTTTCTCTGCATCAGATACCAGGAGGGTTGTTAGAGCTCTTAAGTTCACAATCCTAGAGCATCGTCCCTTAATTGGTACCTTTTGCAGCTAAAAAATCAAATATATTAATAAATTTCCAGCAAAAATATTAAAAAAATAAAATAAAATAAAAATAAAAAATAATGTACAGTTTATATGCATCTCAACAAATGAGACATCCAATATCATCTCATTAAACCCTATTGCAATCGGTCAAGAAATAAGCAATTTATACAAGGTATTAGAAAAGTATTGTTTTTGGCCCCTTTTTGCGGTTTGGGCCATAACCCCCAAAAT